GGACGTGACGTTTGATCTCCCGAGGCTGCCGGCGCCGCTCGGCGGCTCTGGCGGTTGAGGGTTTTCCCTCTCGTCTCTCGTACAGCCTGGGGTGCAGGCTCTGTATTTAGCTTGCAGGTACGGTAAAACCAGCTGTTTGAAGTCATAGTGTCAGAACCAAACCGGCTCTCTTTTGGCCCAGGTGCCATGTGGTCCCAGTACTGCCTCTTTTAGCATTTATCACAAATGCTGTCACCTACAGAAATCAGTTTGAAATCTGCCACAGGGCATTTCATATGGGCAGAATTTGTCTCTCCGTTCCAGAGAGGTGCATGGCGAGGTGCCGAGCTGCAGGGGAGGACCCCCAAGCCCGCTGTGCCAGGGAAGGAAGCTGCTATCTCCCATTCTCTGTATCCAGGAGAACTTGCCAAGCAGCCCTGTGAGGTGCCGAGCTGCAGGGGAGGACCCCCGAGCCCGCTGTGTCAGGGAAGGAAGCCGCTATCTCCCATGCTCTGTGTTCAGGAGAACTTGCCAAGCAGCCCTGTAAAGCTGTTCCCCTGGAGATCCCTGTGGTCTTCCTACGAGCTCCCTGGTCCTGCAGTCTATTTTGAGAAGATCTCATTTTGTGAGAGACCGTGCAAGGGACGTAGCTGTGATACCAATGTTGCATTACTGCATGGCACTTAAATCATGGACATCGTACCTCTGTCTCCAGCTCTTTCAGTTCAGACTCAGTAGGGTTAAATGCAAGTAGTGGACACAGAAGTTTGGGGTAAACAGCTTCCTGTCTAATCTTGCATAGTTTACATGCAACCTATGTATTGACTATGAGGACTGCATGAGTTTTGATCAGGAGAAAAAGAGGACAAGGGTTAGACAAGAGCCTCTTTTTACCATCAAGGAATACAAGAAAGCATTTAATGTAATTAGAGGGCAACACAAACGAAGAGTGTGAAGTAACCATATTTCTAATCCTGACAACCAGCAAGGCCTGTCCCTGCAACCCTATTTCTCGCTAGTTAGTAATTTTAGTTCAGATTATTACAGTGAGGTTTACATGTGTGTTTCTAACCCGATTTTGTTCCTTTTAAAAAACATTTATGTAACAAAGCTGCGTGCTGCAGCTAAATGTATACCTGGATTTAAAAACAAATGTTTGATCAAACTAATATACAAGCTAAAACTTCCAGTTGCTGGAAAGTAACTTAGATTCACTAAGGCAAAAAAATCTCCCCCAACAGACAGGCCTGTGCATTAAACTGCAGCCTTCCCTCCACCCCAGAGGAAGGAGAGAAGCTCTTCCATGCGGGCCGATGGCAGGGCAGAGCAAGTGCCAGAGCACGCAGGCCAGGACGCTGCCTGCAGCTGCGCTTAGCGCTGCTCTCATGGAACTGCTCCCCTGCACTCAGGGGGGTTCTTCTGTCCCCTGTATAAGGCACAAGAATTCCTCCCACTGATTGCAACAGCTGAGAAAACATATTACTGGAAATGTGATTAACATGTGATTGTTCCTTCTGTTTTGCAATCCAGAGATTTCTCTCTGGAAACAAACTACTTCTTTGGAAGGAAAGTGGCAGAAACTCATCTTGAGAGTTAATTATAAGCCGTTCTTTGTACCCAGAGAGGATGGGGAATGAAAAGATCAGAAAGCAAGCAGTTAACCTGGCTGTGGTACAGTGTGGAATACAAATACCTTTCCCAGAGTTGTCCAACAGCTTTTCTAAAGCACCGAAGGTTTAACATGTATGATCAAAACAAGCAGGAAGCACAGTAGCTCAAGGTAGAAAGCAGGTGTGAGATGCTAATTCAGTCCTGGGAATTGGCCTTTGACAAGTCTCACCTCCAAAACACACACGCAACTTTAAGGAATCTCCCAAACTCCCCCTTTCACATACAAGCAAAAAAAAAAAAAATAGGAGGACAATTGTTTTCAGTTGCTGTTTATATTGAGCAAGCAGGCAAAAGACAAAAATACACAACTAAGGCAAATTTTATTTTACTTTTTTTTTGGTAGAAAGAAAAATGATGCAACATTATAATTAAGCAGTATCTTCTTGCTTTCTAGTGAAAGGTCTTCTGCATTGGAACCTTCACCAAGCCTAATCAGAGTAATAATCTTGCTCAGTGCATTTTATTTTCAAGTAAAGCAAAAATACTAAATGAGATTGTAAACAGCTATTTGGGATAATATCCCTTCTGCCCACAGCACCTGAAGGCCTATGAAACAAGGATAACAGTCATCACTGTATTTTTACTCACGCACATTTGACACGGTATCAGCAGTTCCCAAACCTTTCCTGGTTGTGATTCCACCTAAATTTGCTGCCTTGTGTAATCCCAAACACAAGGGCAACTACTGCATTTTTGTCAGGTTCACAACTCAGGTCTTAAACGTTGACAGGTAGTTTGGAAACGGCTATTCTAACCCAGATAATACTAAATTACTATACACTGAAAGTCCGTACAACATGCAAATACATTTTCACCCTACACCTGCTTGTTAGGCAAAGGCAGTGCTACAGTGGCTTAACTTCACTTGCACTTAGGTAAAAGCTGAATTCTATTTGCCAGCAAAGCAGCAGATTTTGAACAGTGTTGTGAATGATACGCACACGTGTTCTTTCTGTAGTCTTAATACTAACAATAAACACACTTTGAGCAATGAAATGGTTTTTAGCTTGTTCTTTGCCCAGGACATTTGGTACATGTCCTAGTAGCCCCAAAAGAAACCAAACGGTGTAATAGTACTTTAATACTATTTGTTAAAATGCAAAACAAAAGAAGAAAAAAAAAAAAAAAAAAAAAAAGCAAGCTCCCTGGAGCAGCATTTGATAAAACAGCTTCATGTAGCTGCCACTTAGTGGCAGCAACCATTTAGGCATTTTTGGTATGGTATTGATAGAACTTTATCATATAATTTGTGCATTAATTGACAAAAACACAGGCCCCAATCCAGCAAATACTTATGCATGTGCAAACATTTTCTTTTTCTATGTACAGTATTTCCAGACTAATCAGATGAGTGACGTTAAGAATTTGCATAAATGTTTGTAGGATGGGAACTCTTAGTGCTTACAACTTTTCATAGAACTAAAATTTAATTCTAGACTTTGAAAATATAGCAAATATTCTTTATAGGAGCAGGTACATTGTTTTATGGTAAGTGCTTTCAGGGTAACAAGAGCATCTAGAAATGAGTGTGCCTTCTCTCTGAAGAACTTATTTCTTCTTGGAGAAGCATGGGCCCCATCTTACTCCTCTCATTACTGGGTACTTTCTTTTGTTTCATGAGGAATCAATAAAGTGCTTGTCACAAATTCTATCCTAATAGAATAAAATCAAATTTAAGTACCTTCATAATGTCTTTAAAAATATAAATTATAGATTAAATGCTATCATTTTATTCCAAACACACTTCCCTGAATTACTAACAATGTTCTTCATTCTGAATAAAAAAAACAGATCTTTTGTTAGAGCTAAGTGTATTTCATAATTATGCTAGTGAAGTTATTTTATGCATCTGGTGGAAAAAGCTTAATTTACTTCATTTCAGTGTAAGAGTTTATGCTCAACTGAAGCATGATACTTATGCATTTCACAAGCATTAGCATTCAATGAGCAAGTTTGTTTAAAACACAAAATACGGATATTGTTAACAATATATCCACTCTGACTTCCGTTCATGATTTGTTACCAACTCACCATAATTCTGAGGCCTTGCTTGCCCTTTCACCCTTCCTTGGGTTAGAAGTTTGTTGCTGCTCTTGGACAAAGCGTCTCTGATACAAGCTTTGACATAAGTTGTATTGATCTTTGTGGCATCTTCTCATTAATATCACATCTGACTAAATTTTATACATACATATATATATTTTTTTTGTAGTTTAAATAAATATATGGGGATTTGCTATCTTTCAGATAATTAACCTGTAGCAGCTGGCTGAGACTGTATGTTCTCTGTAGAGAACTTGTGTATACCTCCTCATTCAAGAAAAAAAAATATATATATATATAGTCAGTCATGTGTTTGGTAAATGATAGGGTTTCACTGTTTTGTTTTGTCTTTCTGTTGCTGTTTTTAAAGGCTTCGGTGTTACTTATATTCATCCTCCAGTCAGCTACAGGATAATAGCAACTGCAAAAACGTTGACGATGCAGTTCATCGTTCGGTTTTCCCATCTCACTGTGCATGTTCCTAAAAGAGATTTTTATTACAAAATAAAATAAGAATTCCAGCACCTTTACTAAATTCACTTTATTTCAATGCAAATTATGTGAAATTAAATTGCAGCTGAAGTTTTCATATTGAGATAATTACTGTGTCACCTGGCCTAGAAACAGGTTGATTTCTCAACATGTTTTCATAATTTGGTACATTGTTTACTAACGAACAGGGTTCTTGTATACCTAATCCAGGACTATTACTATAGTTCAGTATCTCTTTAAAAGCTGTGTTTGCAAAAAAATACCAAGGATTCCCAACGAAATTGGCAAGATAATCAGACCAAAAACCACACCAAAACAAGCTCTCTGAAAAGTCTAGATCAAGTACATTCCAGTGCATTTATTTTCTTTAATTATCCAAATGCTTCATAAGCCAAGAAAACACAAAGTTAAGTCTACTTGTTTATGTGAAATCCATTATTTCTTTTTTGGACTTGGTTGACTTCCTAACACAATCTCTATTTTTAAACTTACAATTTGGTGCCCTCTTCTGGAGAGGGAGAAAAAAAAAGCTCCTCAAACCTGGAAAGTTTTAAAAACACTCTAATCTTATTTTCTCACACTACTCAAGCTGGGAAAAAAACGCAGTTAGAAGTTATTTAGGCACAAGTGAAGTCTATCCAAAGCCTATGAACTGAATGTGAGTTCAGTTAAACACATGCTGTTATTCAAACTATTTTCCACTGAGCTCTGTTCATCTTCAAAGTAGCACTGTCCTCTTAACGGGCAAGTGGACATGTGCAGGACTGCTGCATATACTGCAAACAGTATTTTACTGCCTCCTCAGTTGATCTGCAGTTACTGAAGAGGATTGTGTCTTTGGATCCTTGTTTCATAATGAAAGCATTTCTGCTATCACTTCTTATCATTTAAAAAACAGGCTCTCTTATGCCTGTTTAAGCCTCCTTATCAGCAAAATTGCCCAGTTCTGCTGGGATTATAAACAAGCACCTAATCCTGGAAGCTCCTGCTTCTATAGTCACTCTTGCAAAATATCCAACAGAACCATTACAACTGAGCAACCGGTAGCATTTATTTTACTATAACTTATTAACCTGAGCGAGGAAACTCACCGTCAGTTGTGGTATCCCAGAAGCAAGAGCTTGCTGTGTGGAGACCAGCTCCACTCCTCTGCATCACTGCACAGGTTACTGAAGGACATAGTCATAAAAACACCAGAGCTTTCATTATTAAAACAAAAGAGGTGAGTCACTCAGAATCCCAGAACTAAAGCTCACATTATGATTTCAAATGGCTGAGAGGAGGCATTCAGCTAAGTCAAAACCATTTTTGACTAACCCCTTACCCCATTTTCCTCAGAAACTTAGCATTCATCTTAAATATCTTTATTCACATAAAGAGCTTTAACATAAGGCTTGTTAATAGGATTATGTTTTCTTTTTTAATCTGCTAAGATACTTAGATATGGCTTGTGACTTGTGCACCTGAGAACTGGATTACAGGTACTGTCCTCATGGTTGCAACAGAAATCCTGGATGGGGGCTGTTTCACAAAAGTACTGTCATACGGCGCTCAAACCTCTTTCAGGGCAGGCACAACATTTACAGACTCTCTTGCAGCTGCTGTCAAACCAGTGACAATCTGAATTCAAGACTTTCAAAACAGAACAGCCTGCAAATGCAGCGACCAAAGCAAACTTGAACTTTTTTCCCTTTTCCTCCCACAGATACCTGTACGCGTGCTTATATTACGGGGCATGACCTATCTTAACAGCATTGGCAATGTTTTAAATGTCTGTATTTATAAGAAACATAATCCTACTAAAATTATTTTTAGATAAACAGAATCTATTTCCTGAACTTACACCAAAAAATGGCACAAGTGTTTGGGAGTTGCTTGCCACCATGAGAGACTGGATGACGTGTCATCTTCTGGCTAAGGGTGTTACTGACACAGAGCAAAACTCACATGCTTTTACTACAGGCATTACTTAAAATCTATATTGCAGAAGAGTTCAGGTCTTAATTCACTATCCCCTGCATTTATTTATTTATATAGTTTATAGATTTAAAAATCTATATTCATTTGATCACTGCACCAAATCCAACCTTTCAGCAATTATTTACTGTATGGGATAAAAGTATGAATACTTGTACTTACCAATGTACTTGTACGTTTTTCCTAGTTTCACCAAATGCGTCAGTGATTGTTCTACAATAGCTGCAGTCCACTGGTTGACTTTGTTGTGGTTATAATCTGTTTTGCCCAGAACACCTTCTATGCACTAAAATAGAGTGAAACCAAACAAAAATACACCAAAATCTTCAAATAGCCAATGCCACACAGTGAAACATACCTCATAATAAGACAGGATAAGAAAGATATGAGTGCAATAGATGTGCAAAGGTCCTGTCCTGCAGCATGAGACACACCCCTGAACAGCTTCAAAATTGCATGTTCTCCCACAGCTGTAGGTATGGGCAAACCTTTTCTTAACCTTAAGACAGCCAAACAACAGAAGGTCTTAGAGCTATAACTGCTCAGCTGCATCCCCTACCCCTAAAGAAACTCAGAATCACATGCTGGGGAACTGTATTTCTCATGTTAAACAGTAAAGACAAACACATACCTGAAAAGGGTAGATAAAATGAAACTATTATTCTCCTCTAATTTAATAATACAGAGCCTCTGTGCTAATGACCCACGGACAGCCTGTGGAAGAGATTTGTGTCCTAGACCTTAAAACGCCCAGTTCCTCCAGACCGCAGTGTCTAACCCTAAACAAAGGAATCAACTGGAACATAGAACAGACTAGAAGGCAACTGAGGGACAATAATTCTGAACCAGAACAGAACCTTCACCAGAACCTTCACCTTCAGTTAAGCTTTAAAGCAGAGGGAGAAATACTTGGCTTTACTCCCAGGCTCGGATACAAAAATAAAGAGAACTGTCATACAGTATTTGGCCTTTCAAGGCAGGCATAGTTACAAAAAGCCGAAGGAACCGACATCTCAGACCTCGCTGCTGCACGCTGGAACAACTCTAAAAGCACAGTTTTTCTTTCTTGACAGGGCATGTAGGAAAGGATGTGCAGACTCCCTGCAGAAATTCCTTAATAAAAATGGCATTTCCCTGAGAAACCACACAAGCTCTGTGTCATGGACTCTTCTTTAATCACTTTCTCATTGTTAGGTGCTTAATTTAGACTATCATGCTATTTGTTTTAAGCCTGCTCTTTCTGAGTAAGAATTAATCTTCACCAACATTGACAGAGTAACTGAGGCTCACGCAGCCCAATCTGTCGCTCGAGGCACAGGTAGCTTCAATCTTTGATCATGTTGCTTAAGGCCTTGGCCGTTCAATTTTTTTATGTTTCTGAGGATGAAGACCCCACATGCTCTCTCAGCTATCTGTTCCAGTACTAACTACTGTCAAGGGAAAAAAATTCACACTGAACTTCCTTTGCAGCCAGTGACTGTGGCCCCTCATCATCCCTTTTGTAACTCAATTTTTTTCTCTGCGCCTCTGAAACCTTCCCTCTCTTTAGGTCAAGGAAGACCCAAACGTCTTGATGAAGTTCCACAGCAGTTCCAGATGAAACTGTTTCTGCTTCATGTAAACAGTAACTTCTGTTTCACATAAATTTGACTGAATTTGCCCTGGGATGGATAATAGAAACAACTGTCTTTTCATTACATTGCAAGGAAAGGTAAAGATCTTCTTTGAAATACTACCATTAGATAAAACCTACCTCCTTAACTATGTTGTGGGCTTCATCAGCATTGAAGATCATCTGTAATAAAGTTTAGATAAAATTTAACCATTTTTTTTCCCGATAGAAAAGCAAACACATGATGCAATATTGCTTCAAACAACATGCTATGGTCAGGCCCCACATCTAATTACTTGTACAGTATGCTTTTAAATCTTACTTTTTTCCTCAGCACCTGAGATTTTTTATTTAGCGCTTCTTTGTAGTTGCTTTTGAGCGGGCCTAAAAGCTTAGGCCTCAGTGTGCTTGGAAAGAGGCCATATGTGCATTTGCTGTAAAGCCCAAGCCCAAGCCCTGGTGCAGGCTTTTCCTCCAAACATTCCCCACAACAAAATGCTCAACAGCAAACGCTTCCTCTGGGTTTAACCCCGCATTTTGCTGGAGCCACGGGCTCACTAACCTCTGCGTTAAACCTTATTGCCAAGCGCTAACCGAGGGCTTTGCAGACCCGGCAGGGCTTGGATGCCCGTGAGCCCCCCAGGTGCTGGCAAAGCAGCAGTTTCCATGCTGGCATTCCCCACATCCCGTTCCGCGCTGGCTCCCAGCGGCACCCGCCCACCGGGAGCAAACACAGGGCCAGGGCAGGAGCCTCGGGGGCTTCTACTCTCCGGGCAGCTCTGCCATGAAGCCCGCGGGCTGCAGACCCCGCTCCCGCGGAGGGAAAGGCCCTTCCACCCCAGCTGGTAGGAGCAGCGCGCTCCTGCCTGTTTATCCCCCCACTTTTTTCCCTGCAGGAGGGATATGAAAAAAAACAACAGGATCAAAACGGCCGCAGGTTGGCGGCACCGCGGCGAGCAGCCGCCTGCCCCGCCGAACGGCGCCACTGC